ACTGTCCTAACCCTCCACTTATCGATCCGTTCTTTCCCATGGCTGTTTATTTTCTCTAGTTACCATTCACAGAACCCAGTTGTATCTACTGTTTCAAAAATTACCGCACGTGATTCTTTTCTGGGGCTGCAGTATACACCCGCGTGAATATCCTGTAATTGACTAAGCATCCTTTGCTGTTGCACATCTTGCTTGTTTCAGTTTGAAACTGTGATCGAGAACCTAAAACATTCCACACCTCAGCCCAATCCTCCTGCCTCAACACCCCCAAGTTCCCAAACCTCCTCAGTCCGGGGCACCCCTAACTTTTCTACAATATGCACCCCATGCAAGCCAAAGTCCCCAGTGGTAAGGAGTGAGGTCCAAACCATGTGACACCTTTGTCCTGTGCTCAACACTCAGAAGCTGTTTGCCACACACCACCTGAAGGAAACCCCATTTCCCTTCGTCCCTCACTTCGTGAAATCACTGGTTGTAGACTATACACACCTGTCCGGCCGTGCACGGCTTTGCACACCTCATGATGGGGTTACACACCAGCACCCCCTCATTTCCTGCTTCCTTGAGACTTTCACATGGCCCTTGCTTTTTCAGCCCAGCCATGTGTGTGGAGCTGACAGCTGCTGAGTGTTGCCGAGGTCCCCTCCAAATGCTCCACAGCCCACAGTGTCCCCGAGTTGACTAGGAACCCTAGAGGTACCTCAGCAGCTGATTTAGGAACTGTGGTCTTAGCTTTCTTTCTCTTTTGGAAATAGTTTCTCTGTGATAAAGTCAAGCTTCCAATTATCCCGCTGTGTGCAAAGCCTTGAAGAGCTCAGCATTTTGTGTGGCCCTTGATGTTTCTTCCTCTCTCATCTCCACGGTCCATGGCTTTCCTTATCCCCACAGACTCTTGAAGAATCTGCCACAGGCTTTATACTACCTTTTATTTTTGAGACAAAGTCTTGCTCTGTATCCCAGGCTGGCCTCCAACTCTCAATCCTCCTGTCTCAGCTGCCCCAGGGCTGGGATTACAGGTGGGCCCTGCTGTGCCTGGCCTGACACGGACCTTGTGAGGTATTCACAGACATTCTACCTTTGGGGAAGGGTGGAAGACACAGCCTTCTCCTAGCACACACTCTGGGCCAGCATCACTTCTTTACGTTTCCATGGTAACGTTGTGCCGCGGCTTCCTGTCGCGACCCTCATTTTTTACAGCTGGGGAAGCTAAGGTCTGGAGGTGCATGCCTCCTCTCAGAGTCACTCTTTGGGGTGGGAACACCCTAGGGTCCACACCAGGAGCCGCAGGGATCTCCCTCCCCGGGGCTGACCCACAAGTCGGCCGCTCACGAGGGCTGTCTTCTCTTGCAGAAATGGCTGAGCGGCACAATGCGAAGCAGATCCTGCAGCTGGCGCGGGACCTGGTGCACAAAGTGCAGATTCTGATCGAGAACAAGTGAGGGGCCGCAGCGGCCAGGCATCCCTGCTGTCCACCCCTTCCCCTCCTGCAGCCCGGCACGAGGTCCTGCGTCTGTTGGACCAGTGCGGACTTCTGTACAGAGAGCCAGACTCTTGACCTGGGCCGTTGGGCGGTGGGGTAGAGAAGAGCCCGGCTCAGCCTTACGTTTTCCTGTTTGACCAAAGATTGCCCAAGACTGGGATTTCCCCCCTCTTGGGAGTTGGGGTTGTGGGTATGTGGAGGTGGCCTCTGGGCCTGTTGTTCCTCTTCTGTCCCCTGTTCCTCCCTCATCTGTACAGGAGGCCTCTGGGGCTTCCTCTGCATCTGGCAAGGAAGGGCCTCTGAAGGTGTTCCAGAACATTCCTGCCAGGCTGGCTTGGAGCAGGGTCTCCCTTAGGTGTTACTCACATTTGAAGTCCCCGATGTCTTTGAGCATCATCCCTGACTTCGAACCACCGGATGTCACCCTTACCGTCTCCCAAGGTGACCCAAATGTCCCTGCACAGCAGATGTGCCCCACCAGAGAACCACTGGCTTGGGGGAGGGGCTACCAGCT